CTTACTTGAAACTAATTCTCTAATGAAAGAATTAGTTCTTCTATCTTATTCCTGTCTCTTATACACATCTAGATGTGTATAAGAGACAGCTAGATGCAGTGTGCACGGCCTCCCTGCCCCCCCTGCCCCCCCGGTCCGCCTCGCAGCGCCTCAGCGCCCCAGACCTGCGTCCCGCATCACGCTACTTCAGCTCCGGTGACTGCTTGACCTAATACATTAATGTAGTGACTGGATGCAATTGCCTCCTTTTATAACAAAATTGAAAGTGTATGTAAATTTTTTGTTTAAATTTGCAAATTTTCAACTTAATTTGAATGCTGTTTAAAATATCAACTTATCGGCTCGTTACGCGATATTTTAAAGCATCAGCAATACCCAAAGTTTCACGCAGAGCTTGATTATGCGGTCCGTGGAGTTTTGGTTCACATTAATTGAACCTTAGTCATACATCGGAATTAATGAGTTTCTAATGATGTATATCAAGGAATTCATTTAAATTACACGAACACCAATGTCCCGAGAAAATTGGTGTTCTTATAAATAATATACAGGGCTGACAGTTGTTGTCCTTGCTTACCTTAGGTGTCGGGCCAGCCGCCGCCCTGTCATGGCTCGCACTGGCGCTGAGCAACATATCCCTCCTCATCTGAGCGCCACGCGGGCGACACTGACGACACGTGTTAGTTTCGCCCATTTATTACTCGCTCAAAACACGTTACGAACGTGACCGAAGCCACTCCGGAAGTGGAATTATTTCGTCATCATAATACTTTGTTATGATAGGATTGCTTATATTCATGTGTTATAACATTATTTCAGTTAATTATTTGATTTATTGACGATACAACATAACTAAAGAAGAAATCTTCAGTTTTCCATCAAAATTTTATTGAATTATGTGATATATTAATAAGAAATTAAATACGGACGATTGAACTTACAATTGTATTGGAATTTATTATGAATACATGCACCATTACATACAATACAATAACAGGACTCAATGATGACTTCATTCATTATAATTACAGCCATTTGCTGTTTGGATGTTAGTGAAATATTGTACGAATATACATCTCACTTGCATATACAGACATACATCATTTGTCTTGTATAATAATTCTGTTTTTCTTAGTTTACTTGCATCTGTAATATTTTAATTGTTAAATAAATCGCTTCATTACGGTCACGCGAATGTTAATTATACAGATAATAGATTTTATTCATTAATAGAAGTTTGCATTATTAACGTCTCTGATATAAATAACGAACTATTAAATACTCTATACTTTATTTGATGCGTGTACAGGTTATCACTTCATTACTGTACACTTAAGTAATGTTGCTTGCACCCCAAAATGTTAAGGGTTTCCCTAAATTACCTTTTCCCTGTACGTTTAGGATTACTGCTAGATCATGTCCTGTAGGATTACTGATAGGATTACTCATAGGATTACCATATATATCATGTATCAAGCTCATAACATAGATACGCTGAATCGAGTGATAAATGACAAACGTGTATATATACACAAGATGATAACGATGACATATCGACGACGATAACAGATAACTGATGAGTAGTGGTGTTATCAGGGCAGGTGGCGGTGTATATAACACCGCCATGTTGAGTGGTGTTATCAGGGCAGGTGGTGGTATATATAACACCGCCATGTTGAGTGGTGTTATCCGGGCAGGTGGTGGTATATATAACACCGCCATGTTGAGTGGTGTTATCCGGGCAGGTGGTGGTATATATAACACAGCCATGTTGAGTGGTGTTATCAGGGCAGGTGGTGGTATATATAACACCGCCNATGGTCCCTGTATACCGGTATCCCAGCACGGTAGGTATTGCAGATACACGCTACAATGGCCCCTGTATACCGGTATCCCTGCACGGTAGGTATTGCAGATACACGCTACAATGGCCCCTGTATATTGTTGAAGAGGCTCTCAATTCTCACATAATTTCAGTGTTGTATAACAGATATACTGTAAAGAATATTACTTGTTAAATGTTCTTATTAAATCGTAGTTAGTGTTCTTTATTGATCAGTTTCTAATTATCAAACGCCATAGGCTATTGAATTTAAATAATTTATTCAATTATATGAATATTTACTGAACATGCACATGTTAATTAATTAACTCGCACCGTCTGAATCCCAGTGAAAATTTACAGACGCGGCAGCTTCTGATTTGGATTACCAGAAGCTGGTGCGACTCTAAATTTTGTTAAGGTTAAGTCAATGGCAGTTAGGAGGAAGAGTGAGTGTGACAATACTAAAACCACAATTTGTGTAATCCTTTTGTGGTCTTTTCAGTGAATACTTACTAATACTTAGCTTTCAATAAGTACTTAATAATACTAAGCTCTCAATAAATGGTAATGAATACTAACATTCTTCAATCATTATCCAAATGCGCTCTGAATTTGTGCAGCTCAAATTTATAATTTTACTCGCATCATTGAAATCGACATATAAGTCATTGTATTCCCTGGACATTATTATTATTATTCGTAATGAAAATGATGTCGATGACATAAATGATCCTGATTATTGTCACCATGGCAGCCTCGGATGATTGTTAGCGACAGTCTAAACATTAATTAATGTCATTAATTAACAAATGATATTAATTATTACTTTACTTGAGATCAGGGCCGAATCCTATCTCTCCCTAATGGGATTGGGCGACATTCCCACCAGTTGGGGTTTTCTTCCCCGCATCTTATTAGCCCCCGTTCCAGTCCTCTAATTTTTACGTCTTTGAGTCTTACTCTTCCTCAATCTTCCCCAACTCCTGGTCCTCCTTACCTCATCATGCCTCCCACGCTAGTTCCTCTTTCCCTAATCCCTTCATCCAGTTCATTCCCCCGCTTCTCCTCCCCCGACCTTACCTTGGGGTGGCCAGAGCCGATTAGTTGTATTGCCCCGTAGCCCCAGCCTCGGGGCTAGGCTATCATCCGCTGGCCTGTGAACCGATGATGTGTTGATCATTGCTGCGTGTCGTGACCGATGATGTAACTGTCGATCAATAAGACGTCTGTTATCATCGTGACGCTGGTAATCATTAAGACGCTAGCTATCATCGCGACGCTAGCAATCATTAAGACGCTAGCTATCATCGCGACGCTAGCAATCATTAAGACGCTAGCTATCATATCGTGACGCTAGTAATCATTGCGAGATTGTCGATCATCGCGACGCTAGCAATCATTATGATGCTAGCTATCATCGCAACGCTAGCAATCATTAAGACGCTAGCTATCATCGTGACGCTAGTAATCATTGCGAGATTGTCGATCATCGCGACGCTAGCAATCATTATGATGCTAGCTATCATCGTGACGCTAGCAATCATTAAGATTGCTAGCGTCACGCTAGCTATCACGCGACGCTAGCAATCATTGCGAGATTGTCGATCATCGCGACGCTAGCAATTATTATGATGCTAGCTATCATCGCAACGCTAGCAATCATTAAGACGCTAGCTATCATCGCGACGCTAGCAATCATTGCGAGATTAGCGATCATCGCAACGCCTGATTGCCTGAGTGGGTGTTCAGCGTGGCCTGGGGCTGCTACGTCTGTAAATAGTTCAAGTACATTCACCATCTATTCAATATATACAAGTACAATCAGAGTAAATATCAAAATATACACGAAAATTTTAAACTTAAGAAAATAGGAGTGAACCACGAAAGAAACAAACCTGTCTATGTACAATTAATTCCTTTTTGTTGGAATGGTGAGTGTGGGAGGCCTTAAAAAAAATTCCGAGTTCTGAACTAGATGCGTTATTAAGTATTCGAAAATATACGAAAATATGCATATGAAAAATATGTATACAAAAATATGCAGTGATTCCAAATTTTATTAATTCCAACCGCCAGAGGTGGAACCTAGTACCTTGAGGTCAGACTCGGTCACGTCTCACTGTGCAGCATGAGGGTGCACGGCAGAATGAGAAGGCCTGAAAAGTGGCAGGTTCGAACGAAAACTCCTGCCATGGTGTTCAGAGACCAGTATGTTTAAGCTAAGTGACGTCATTTCGACGTTCACTGATGCGCAGCGCGCACAACTGTACTCACATGCTAGGTTGGGTTGCATGCGGAATGAAATAACATCCTTATACCTGAATAAGGAATTAATTTTGAAATTGTCTGGACACTGTCTTAAACAAGCTACCAAAATTAGGGATAGTACATTAAATAGTTTTACCACTATAAATTTCAGTAACTAATCAGGATATACATATATTTTTCATAAAACGCTTTATTTTACTAAACACAAGGAACGATGGAAATACATATGCTGCATATTTCTAAACGAAAACCTTATTTTTTAAAAAGCCTTCAGTTATCATAATTTTAGAAGCTTAAATAGATTTTTTATGATTTGTCTGTCGTTTCCGATTTACTAAGTTTTACAATCTCTTCTATGAATTTTTTATTTTATGAGTTTTTTTTTATTCTATGAGGTTTTCGAACCGATGATGGAGCAGGTCTCCAAAACTGATGATGGAGCTGGTCTCCATAACTGATGATGAAGCTGGTCTCCAAAACTGATGATGGAGCTGGCCTCCAAAACTGATAATGAAGCTGGTCTCCAAAAAGTTTTCAATGAACATATGAAGAAATTACATGCAGTTTGTTTTGCATTTAAATTCTTGGTGAACTCATGATTTAAGCAGACCAATGATATACGTTCCAAGGAGCAGACCAATGATATACGTTGAGTGAGTGAGAGTGGGTCTGAGTGGGGCTACGTATGCGTGAGAGTGGGTCTGAGTGGGGCTACGAATGTGAGAGAGAGTGGGTGTGAGTGGGGCTACCTATGAGAGAGAGAGCGGGTATGAGTGGGAGTGGGTTTGATTGGAGGTGTGCTTGATAGGGGTTGAGCTGAGAGGGAGAGGGCTGAAAGGGAGTGGGTTGAGAGGGAGAGGGCTGAGAGGGAGTGGACTGAGAAGGAGTGGACTGAGAGGTAGTGGTCTAAGAGGGAGTGGGCTGAAAGGGAGTGGGCTGAGAGGGAGTGGGATGAGAGGAAGTGTGCTGAAAGGGAGTGGGCTGAGAGGGAGAGGGCTGAGATGGAGTGGGATGAGAGGAAGTGGGCTGAAAGGGATTGGGCTGAGAGGGAGTGGGCTGAGAGGGAGTGGGCTGAGAGGGAGTGGGCTGAGAGGGAGTGGGCTGAGAGGGAGTGGGCTGAGAGGGAGTGGGCTCACGAGTGCTGTAACTGCTGTAAACACGAGTGCTGTAACTGCTGTAAACACGCGTTCTGTAACTGCTGTAAACACGAGTGCTGTAACTGCTGTAATCACGATTGCTGTAACTGCTGTAATCACGAGTGCTGTAACTGCTGTAAACACGAGTGATGTAACTGCTGTAAACAAAAGTGCTGTAACTGCTGTAAACACGAGTGGTGTAACTGATGTAAACACGAGTGTTGTAACTGATGTAAACACGAGTGCTGTAACTGATGTAAACACAAGTGCTGTAACTGATGTAAACACAAGTGCTGTAACTGCTGTAAACACGAGTGCTGTAACTGATGTAAACAAAAGTGCTGTAACTGCTGTAAACACAAGTGCTGTAACTGCTGTAAACACGAGTGCTGTAACTGATGTAAACAAAAGTGCTGTAACTGCTGTAAGCACGAGTGCTGTAACTGATGTAAACAAAAGTGCTGTAACTGCTGTAAACACGAGTGGTGTAACTGCTGTAAATACGAGTGCTGTAACTGATGTAAACACAAGTGCTGTAACTGATGTAAACACAAGTGCTGTAACTGCTGTAAGCACGAGTGCTGTAACTGCTGTAAACACGAGTGCTGTAACTGCTGTAAACACAAGTGCTGTAACTGCTGTAAACACGAGTGCTGTAACTGCTGTAAACACGAGTGCTGTAACTGTTGTAAACACAAGTGATGCAACTGCTATAAATACAAATGCTGTAAGCGCTGCAAACATCTAATATTCTATTATTTATAACACGTACAATAATAGAGTGTTGAAGCAGTTCCTCAAAAGACGTCACACTTAGTAATGTTCTGTATAGTTTTCATCCTTCCAGCCCGCTGAGCTCTAAGCGGCACTAGGATCGACAGTTTCAAGCGATATTCGCTCCATGATATATGTGATGAATATGTAATATAATAGTTAAATGACTTAAGCTATAATTTTATTAGAGTAAGATGCTAATGATCATCGGCAAAACTAGCAATTAATAATAATTAATACAAATAATAATGAAGTAATCTAATCACACGATAAATTACTCACGCTTAATACGTATATTTAAATAAATCGTAAATCATATTGTAGCATAACAATAATTCAAAACCAATTACAGTAGATCACAATAGAATTATATCTAAACTATAACTTTGCATGCGCCAACTGTATAAGAATAAAATATTATTCTATTCTAATTTATCTTAAAACTGTATGAGAATAAATATTTTATTAAAATAAAAATATAAGTATATTTTAATGCAAAAACTTGAGCAAAACGGTATAACGACACCCGCTGTTACGGGGTAGTCATGAATTCTGTACTGGAATAATTGGACTCTCCGCAATGGTTCATTAATTTTCTTTTTATTCTTCAAACCTTAGAAATCTTTGATATTTATGCGAAATATCCAAATTGAAACCAACAGGATTAAATAGTGGATAAGAGTTGCAATTATTGAGTAAATCTGCCCGATAAACGTTGAAAAGTGAATACAAGCTAGAAGCGTACATGAGGTTAAATTAAATGTCATATGCGTCAATGAAATGCACCAGAATATGGGCATACATTCACTAATAATGAATTAAACAATTAACAGGTATCTCACAACGACTGAACCTCCGACACTGGCCGCTGTCTCATGAATAATGTCCGGCCAAGGCTCCCGGCTTCCGCAATCTACCACGCGGATGAAATATGAACTAATATAATAATAACATAACATGTACATGAAATATGTAATTTTAAAAGTAATAAATGACGCCTAAAAGTGCAATGCAGAAACGTATCGTAAATTCATACCTCGCGAGCGCTGGAACTTGGCGATGGTCTTTTCAAAAGGCCATGGTTGTCTGCAGTTCATGCATATATACCTAAGATAGAGCTTAACGGGAGGAAAAAGATACAGCGGATGAACAGTTCAGTTCAAACTAAGCTCAGACCAAAAAGGAGAACTAGAAGCGTTGTTTATGGACTCGAAGCGGTGTTGATTATAACCTGCAGGTATAGGAAGGAGCCTGACGTCAAGCTGTAAAAAGCTGTCGCACCTATCTTTGTGTTCTCCAGCTAGAAGTCTAAGGCATATGACAGAATTTTTTAATTGAATCTAGATCAATGGAAGATATCCTGTGATGAGGACAAGGCTAACGTCCGTAATCAGTCTGTTAGCAGCGTGTTCACACATGAGGACTAGCACAGTATTCCAGCGACTGAGGAGCACTCAGTGGGTTCGAAATTAATAAGTTTTGAAATACAAGAAGAACAGGATCTCAAGCGCCTGCTCGCTCTGAATTCCAAAAAGTCATGTGGACCTGACGGCTTCCCTCTAGATTACTCAAAGAGCTAGCAACCCTCCTAGCCGGCTTTTAGACCGTATTTAAAAAAACGTGAATTTAGGGATCTTGCCGGCCGACTGGAAAGAAGGTCAAGTGCCTTGTTCATAAAAGGTGATAAGAGTAGCTGCGAAAACTATCGTCAGGTAATTCTGAAAAGTGTTGTTTGGAAGGTAGTGGAATGTGTTGTGAGGGATAGGATTATCGATCACTTGACTGTTCGCCATCTCCTATCAAACTGTCAACATGACTTTACTTTATTGCCTCACGATCAGACGCTGGTATTCCATAACAAAATTTAGAGACGCCCCAGTTTCTGGTAATCCAAATGCTGCCGCGTCTGTAAATTTTCACTGGGTAACAAAATTTAGAGTCGCCCCAGTTTCTGGTAATCCAAATCAGAAGCTGCCGCGTCTGTAAATTTTCACTGGGTTTGAGCAAATCATGACCCTCTCCCGCTCTGGAATGGCGTCGATGTGCACGCGCACGTTAGTTAAGTCATACGATACGATACTTTACAAAAATTTGAGCTTACGGGGTTATGTGGTAGTTAGATAATTTCATCATGTATATGACACAAGTGATTTTTCGGCAAAAAGACGTCATTATTCCTATTATCATATTTAAACACCAGAGATTGCTTGAAGGACCACAAAAAATAAATGCATGTATCTTCATGAGATAATTACAAATCCTTATCATAACATAAATAATTAATATTTATGCTGTTAATTGGCAGAACCAACTAATGAACATTCCACAAATTTTTATCAAATATTCAGGTATGTGATCTTGGGATGGTATACTGCTTGATGCAGTGTTGGGGGTACCTATCTAGATGACAGGCATTACATGACGTAGCTTCGGTTATATATACCAGGTCTGCAAAATTTAAATAATCTATGTCAAAGTGATGCTGTAGTGCGGATAACATTATTCTTCATTCATTGGTGAATTAAGATCGCGTGGTGGTCGTACGTGCTGGGCATGACTCATCGTGGCGTAAGTATCATGACAGCTCGCTGCTTTTTGAACAAATTAATGCAACTTTATTCTGTGATTCGAACGACAAAAAACATTGACAAAATTTAATCCATGCTTCATGCTTTTCATATGTTTATAGTTACTTTATTCTGTTGGCCGCGTAAAATTTGTTGCTAGAAGTGCAAAATCTTTAACCGTCGCCCATTATAGTCCCCCATTAGGCCTGCCTTTTACCCCTATCCAGGTTTAAGGGCTATATAGGGGAAATGAGCAGACCCTGGGACTGCTGGCAGCAGTTGCCTAGTTTCTCTAGTCGTGTTTACATGTGGAGTGACACACACTTCTCATTTTTAAAAGATAAACATAATAATTCTGATTATTTTCAAAAACACAATTTCATTAATTTTACTGTGCAGGGCTTCTTAAAGTGGTGTTCGTTGGAAAACCTGACATCGGTATGGCAGCATTCCAGAATATATTTCAGCAAAGATTTCTGCAGTAATAGAAATTTTCAACTTATAGTATATATGTTGGCATGAGCGTGTTATTTGTGCTGCATGTGTTCATGTGTCCTAGGCGCACAAGTAGTGTCAAGCACTCTACTGATCACACTACTGACCCAGCAGGCAACTGACGTTGAAACGACGTTGATTATTGGTTGATTTCAGGTTGAAATGTTGAACAACCAAAATTAAACGTCATATCAACGTCGAAATCTGACCAACACTAGAAGGGACGTAAAACAACCTTATTCCAACGTTGAAATAACGTCGATATTGGTACGTTGAATTTATACTAATTTTTAAACGTTGAATCAATGTTGATATCAGGTTGAGATGCTACACAACCCAAATTATACGTCCAATCAACGTCGAAATCTGATCAAAACTAGAACGGATGTAAAACAATCTTATTTCAACGTGGAAATAACGTCGATATTGGTACGCTGAATGTTTACTAATTTTTAAACTTTGAATCAATGTTGATTTCAGGTTGAAGTGCTGAACAACCAAAATCAAACGTCATATCAACGTCGAAATATGACTAACACTAGAAGGGACGTAAAACAACCTTATTTCAACATTGAAACAACGTCGATATTGACACGTTGAATTCTTACTAATTTTTAAACGTTGAATCAATGTTAATTTCAGGTTGAATGCTGAACAACCAAAATCAAACGTCCGATCAAAGTCGAAATCTGATCGAAACTGAAACGGATGTAAAATAACCTTATTTCAACGTTTAAACAACGTCGATATTGGTACGTTGAATGTTTATTTATTTTTAAACACTGAATCAATGTTGATATCAGGTTGAAGTGCTGAACAACCAAAATTAAACGTAGGATCAATGTCGAAATCTGACCAACACTAGAACAGACGTAAAATAACCTTATTTCAACGTTGAAACAATGTCGATATTGGTACGTTGAATGTTTATTTATTTTTAAACATTCAATCAATGTTGATTTTAGGTTGAAATGCTGAACAACCCAAATTAAACATCCGATCAACGTCGAAATCTGACCAAAACTAGAACAGAAGTAAAACAACCTTATTTCAACGTTGAAACAATGTCGATATTGGTACGTTTAATGTTTATTTATTTCTAAACGTTTAATCAATGTTGATTTTAGTTTGAAATGATGAACAACCAAATCATGAAAGATGTTGCTTCAATTTTCATTCTAAACCTCCTTTCACCCCGATCTCAATGTCGTAATGCGTAGTTGATTCAACGTTGATTCAACCAACGAATGCCTGCTGGGTCGATATTCAGCAGCAGTGTCAAGCGTATACTAAACGTATATGTTCAGAATTGAATTGCCTATTCAGAATTAAAGCGCCCCGCGGACCTGGGAAAAGTTCAGCCGCAATTTATTTCAAGGTCATTTTGAAAAGATCTATTTAAAAAGCCAGTTTTTGGATCTCGTATGAGCAAGTCCCGAAAATTAAAAGAAACTGCGATGGGCCAAACTTGACCTAGTGATCAGGACCTAAATTACTGTACTATACTACATACACTACAACAAAGCTGCTCAAACATAACAGAATCTTTCATTACACGTTGAAATTTATCGACCATTTGCGCGGTCGTTTAAGTGGGGTACTGAGAGCCGCGCGACACCTCGGACAGGCTTTCAAGGGCCTATACTTTCAAAAAAAAGGTAAGAGAACGTAAGTTCATCAGCCAATCATTGAAAGGCCTTCCAAACCAAATCCACCAATCATAGACAAGAAAATAGAGCGTAAGTACTTACGTTCAGTCAGCAGTCTTGAAAGTATGGCTCTTGTGTCCTTTAGAATTTATTCACTAGGTACTTCATCCTTAATCCACTCATACAAAGGATAACAGTCTGAAATTTTCCGAACACTAATAGTCCCGATGAAGGCGTTGTGGGAGAAATGTCTTAAATTAAATTCGTCTTAAATTACTCAGCTGTCGCCGTGTAAGGATTCTTGCGGTCAGCATAGTTACCAAAGATTAGAGATGGCCGACGGTCGGCCGCGGCCAATAAGTTTTAGCCGACCACTGACCATTCATTGGCCACCTGAAAACCTTTCGTTGCCCATAAATGTATGCCGGTTCAGTTATCACCTCACAAAGACTACAAGCTCCAGAGTAATAACTTCCCGTTGCGTGAAGTGAGTACAGAATTCACGCCCTAGTCCCGAAAGCACCCTCGCCGCGCACTCATTACCCTCCTTAAGTTATGAAGCGCTGCAGAGTAGAGGGACATGGGAGGTAATGATGAGGGGAACGAGAGGGTGGTGAGTAGGTGGGGCGGAGTGGGAGTGGGGCGGAGTGGGAGTGGGGCGGAGTGGGAGTGGGGCGGAGTGGGAGTGGGGCGGAGTGGGCCTCGTCAAGAAACATGGACTGGGACCAGGTCTGCCGGGGCCGCCATTACGGGCCATCGCGGCGCATTTTTCCTTACGCCGACCATGATCTTGTCAGACGACGCACTGCGCTTGTCAGACCTCGCATTGCGCTTGTCAGACGACGCATTGCGCTTGTCAGACGACGCATTGCGCTTGTCAGACCACGCATTGCGCTTGTCAGACGACGCATTGCGCTTGTCAGGCCACTTGTCAGACGACGCATTGCGCTTGTCAGACGACGCATTGCGCTTGTCAGGCCACGCATTGAGCTTGTCAGACGACGCATTGCGCTTGTCAGGCCACGCATTGCGCTTGTCAGACAACGCATTGCGCTTGTCAGGCCACGCATTGCGTTTGTCAGATGACGCATTGCGCTTGTCAGGCCAGGCGCTGCGCTTGTCAGACCACACATTGCGCTTGTCAGGTCATGCATTGCGCTTGTCAGGCCACGCATTGCGATTGTCAGGCTATGCATTGCGCTTGTCAGGCCACGCATTGCGCTTGTCAGGCCATGCATTGCGCTTGTCAGGCCACGCATTGCGCTTGTCAGGCCACGCATTGCGCTTGTCAGGCCACGCATTGCGCCTGTCAGACGATGCATTGCGCTTGTCAGGCCATGCATTGCGCTTGTCAGGCCACGCACTATGCTTGTCAGACGACGCATTGCGCTTGCCAGGCCACGCATTGCGCTTGTCAGACGATGCATTGCGCTTGTCAGGCCAGGCATTGCGCTTGTCAGGCCACGCACTGAGCTTGTCAGACGACGTATTGCGCTTGTCAGGCCAGGTATTGCGCTTGTCAGGCCACGCATTGCGCTTGTCAGACGACGCACTGAGCTTGTTAGGCCAGGCATTGCGCTTGTCAGGCCACGCATTGCGTTTTTCAGACGACGCATTGCGCTTGTCAGACGACGCATTGCGCTTGTCAGACGACGCATTGCACTTGTCAGACGAGGCATTGCGCTTGTCAGACGACGCATTGCGCTTGTCAGGCCAGGCATTGCGTTTGTCAGGCCACGCATTGCGCTTGTCAGACGACGCATTGCGCTTGTCAGGCCACGCATTGCGCCTGTCTCTTATACACATCTAGATGTGTATAATTGTCAGGCCACGCATTGCGCTTGTCAGACGACGCATTGCGCTTGTCAGGCCACGCATTGCGCTTGTCAGACGACGCATTGCGTTTGTCAGACGACGCATTGCGCTTGTCAGACGACGCATTGCGCTTGTCAGACGACGCATTTCGCTTGTCAGGCCACGCACTGTGCTTGTCAGACGACGCATTGCGCTTGTCAGGCCATGCACTGCGCTTGTCATGCCACGCATTGCGCTTGTCAGGCCACGCATTGCGCTTGTCAGATGACGCATTGCGCTTGTCAGGCCACGCATTGCGCTGGTCAGACCACGCATTGCGCTTGTCAGACGACGCATTGCGCTTGTCAGACGACGCATTGCGCTTGTTAGACGACGCATTGCGCTTGTCAGACGACGCATTGCGCTTGTCAGACGACGCACTGCGCTTGTCAGGCCATGCACTGCGCTTGTCATGCCACGCATTGCGCTTGTCAGGCCACGCATTGCGCTTGTCAGGCCATGCACTGCGCTTGTCAGGCCACGCATTGCGCTTGTCAGGCCATGCATTGCGCTTGTCAGGCCACGCATTGCGTTTGTCAGGCCACGCATTACGCTTGTCAGGCGACGCATTGCGCTTGTCAGACGACGCATTGCGCTTGTCAGCCCCCTTGTTAGCCCCCCGATGTCCAGGACACAAACAAAACTTTCAGGATCAGGGCGCGGATTAAAAAACGTTTCAGAACAAATCCTTGCAGCGGCGATGCGATGCAAACTGTAAACAAAGATAAAGTGAAGGTAACGGCATGTCAGTTGTGAAGATAATCTTAGATGAGTCTAAAATATATATTACGAAGATAACGAGTATTGTCTTAATATGCCTCCTGGCTCCTGCCTCCTGCCTCCTGCTTCCTGCCTCCTTCCTCCTGCCTCCTGCCTCCTGCCTCCTGCCTCCTGCCTCCTGCCTCCTGCCTCCTGCCTCCTGCCTCCTGCCTCCTGCCTATGAACGATCTCGCCATAAACACAATGTTCAGAAAATTCATACGAATCACATTTGTTATTTTTATCCTATCTGCAGTTTATGAGAATTTTGCATTCAGAACGAGTGAGGGTAGTTTAGGGAGGCAGATTTGTTTTTGAGGGAAGTGAGGGAAGTGAGGGGACATCAGTCGCAGCGTCGGCTTTTGGCTCCGACAAACGAGCGTCGTAAAGTTGTGCTTGACGCGGGGTCTGATTACCATCGTGATAGACCCCACGCTGCGCTGCCCTCAGACCGAGCGGGGTGCGTAGACCCCACGCTGCGCTGCCCTCAGACCTGTCTCTTATACACATCTAGATGTGTATAAGAGAGAAGAGAGTGGCGTGGTGGGCTGAGTATTTGGGACTGTTGGATGAGGAGCAGGCAGGTTTTCGAAAGGGCAGGTCGACAGCGGATGTGGTGCAAATGATGGTTCGGATGCAAGAGGATGTGGTTGATTTGAAGAGAAGAATGGAACTGAATGAGAATGGGGGCATGAATGAAGAAGAGTGGCCTGTGGCGAGACTGCTGGATCTGAGAAAAGCGTATCCGAGGGTGAATAAACCGGGTTTGTGGAGGTTGCTTGAGAGGTATGGAATGAAAGGGAAATGTTTGGAAACGATTGTGGATTTGCATGAGTCGACTGTGTACAAGGTGAGAGGGAAGGAAGGAGTGAGTGAAAGCTGGGTGCCTGCGAGAGGTCTGCGAGAGGGGTGCTCCACGTCACCCATTGTTGTGGGATCAAGGATCGAATAAACTTGGGCAATCCAAGCTTTACTGAACAAATGCCCAGTTACCTGGAAACATAACAACTAATGTAAAATACTTATAAACGCAACACGGAACGATATAACATAACAGTAACAAGGGAAATATATAACAGTCAACAAGTAAGATTCGTAGAGGTAAGGAACGTTGCACTTACATCATAGAACAGCAGGGGTCAGGCCCATTCGTACTGGCTATTGCATAGAGACTGACAACACCTAGTCGCAGCCGGACCTCATTACAACTTGGTACCTGACGTCACGCACTAGTTCTTTATTACGACACTCAGCTATTTTAGAAGCTGCAAATTTATTCTCATTTAACGAAATTTAGTGTCCAGTTGTGCGAATTTCATGAGCGAATTGGAGCAATTCCTGTGACTGAAGTTTTGCACGCAAAACCATGGTTGAACTAGTACGAATTAAATAGATGAATAGATGAAAAGTTCAACGTTAGGTGAAACTCTCGCTCGGTAGGTCTAATTCTCAGCGGGGCCGCAGCAAGCCTACGCAGGGTAGGTCTAATTCTCAGCGGAGTTACGGAGACCGCAGCCAGCCTATACGCAGGTAGGCCTAATTCTCAGCGGAGTTACAGAGACCGCAGCCAGCCTATACGCAGGTAGGCCTAATTCTCAACGGAGTTACAGAGACCGCAGCCAGCCTATACGCAGGTAGGCCTAATTCTCAACGGAGTTACAGAGACCGCAGCCAGCCTGCGCAGGGTAGGTCTAATTCTCAGCAGAGTTACAGAGACCGCAGCCAGCCTGCGCAGGGTAGGTCTAATTCTCAGCAGAGTTACAGAGACCGCAGCCAGCCTGCGCAGGGTAGGTCTAATCAGCGAAAAGCAATTGAGGACTCGAGTGGCAAACACTCGTCAAACAGCGGCCAGTAAACACGTCATGTTTGTCGGTCACCTGGGCCTATTGAAGTGGTAAAATGTACCTCAGGTGGGGGGAGGGGTGAGGGAAGATGGGGGGAAGGAGGTGGAAAATGAGGGGTATAAAGAGGGGTAGTAGAGGGAAGAAGAGCTAAGAGGGAAGAACGAAAGGGGACATGGTATAAAAACGAAAATGGTTGAAGAGAGAGAGAGAGGAGGAGGGAAAATAATTAAAAGGCGATTAGTTCAGAGGGGAAAATTTGGGAATAACGATTAGAAGTAACGAGGAAGGGGCAAGAGACGAAGAAGGTAGAGAGGGACAAGCACAAAATTGATGAAGGATACATGAAAAAGATTGGCTATTGTGGAGTAGGAGGATAGGATGAGATGACGGAGTTGAGGGAGAAATGAGGGGAATGAGGGTCGTGAGGGAGTGAGGGGAGTGAGGGGAGTGAGGGGAGTGAGGGTCGTCATGGCAAGACTGAGACAAGCCGAGGGAAGTTGGCTTTATAAACTTTGTTGAACATCTCCCCACTCTACTGAACATCCCCCCACTCTACTGAACATCCCCACACTCTACTGAACTGGGTGTGTTGATAGGGGTGTGTTGATAGGGGTGTGTTGATAGGGGTGTGTTGATAGGGGCGTGTTGATAGGGGTGTGTTGATAGGGGTGTGTTGACAGAAGTAGTGGGGTGTACTAAACCAAAAGTACTAAAACCTGAGTTAAGATGGAGAACATCACGTGACATATCACGCGATCAAGACCATAGCAGCGGACGTAAGTCGTGATTCTATAAAAGGGCTGAAAACCTTAAGAAAGCCTCATTGATAAACTAACGGCTGCCATGCAACTTGCAGTAGAGCTAATATTACATAAAGGTCGACGTCTCAGCCTATTTTTGCTTGTATCTCCATATTATCTCTCATGTATTAACAACCCGTATCAATATAAGTTCTCTTAACAGATGGTATCTTACATATCCCTCACGCACTTAGTCAACGAATCCCTGTCCTCAGGTTTAGGTAAGAATATACTATCAGTCTGGTGGCGCTTAGTATGACTGTCTGCCAGTACTTATTTAAATAGTCTGCTTAAATTGCCAGCTTTATATAAAATTGAATTATTTCTTGCACTTTCCCTATTTTGGTACCTTGTCTGAAACAAACTCTGGTTTATGAATACAGTTGTGCGCGCTGCGCATCAGCGTACGTCAAAATGATGTCACGCAGCTTCTAACCTGGGTTCTGAACACCACGGTAGGATTTTTCGTCCGAATCTACCACTTTCTTATAATTTTCACTCTTCTATGCGCCTTCAAGCTGAACAGTGCGACATGACTGCGTCTGGAGATAATTTTGAGTCTCGCCACTCCTTTGATGGTTCGGATTTAAGAATTTAGAAATAACATAACATATAACATAGTGATGTCGGCGCTGAAGAGTAGGCCTGATGTGGCCTGTCGCCGATTTTTGTACTTTTCGTGACTTGTCAACAGGAGATCTAAAAACAGGTCCTTCGAGCGGATCTTTTTCAAACTGACGATAGTTTGAAATAGCTACTAGACTTCCACCGTTTTCGATATGCTAGACTTCCACCGTTGGTATATGCTGGGTATTTTTAAGCGGAATCTTGTCTTAATAACGCGTACAATTCTTATCCCTTTGAAATTGTATATTGATAGATTTTATCTTCCGTTTCATAAGTTTCCAAATAGAATATTGTGTATCATTTAAAATGTTTTGGAACCTGTGATGGACCTGGTCTCCGAAGCGTTTCTATTGATTGAAGATGTGGTGAATTTACCAGGCATTTATATTCGCTTTTAAATTCTTCGTGTTTATTATCTTATATGAGCTTCGTGTCCTAGCAGCTTCATTGTGAACATGAATTAATGGCTGTATTGGAATCTATTTATCCACTGTCTATTAATTTTCTGAAGAACCAACTAAACTTCACTTGGTATCGAGCTCGCGATCTCCAGCTCTCTACGCGGCCTCTAAGATCCGTTGTATTCATTGAAGTTTGTTAGCGAGTTTCTCCTGGAAATTATGCTTAACTCATTTCAAGGTCAGGAAAAACCCTTTCCATGCCTGTATTTTATTGATATTATTTAATGAAACTGTTATTTATAAAAGGAAAACGATTGCGATTTAATACCGAAAATTGTCATTTGTTATAATAATTGGAGTTAAATACTTGCAGGATGTGTGCAGTAGCGATGTGATTTGCCAATTGATGTCAAATGTCCTTACGATGTAGAACTGTCCCTGAATGATGTCAAATTACAACATGTATGTTGTTAAAGTGTCCCTTCATTGATGTCAAATTACCTTCGGGAAGATATTAAAGTCCTTCAAAAAGGATATTAAAAGGCATCATATATCGGGATATGATGTTGGGGGTGATGTTAATGATGCTAACAATGCTAGCGATGCTAGTGATGCTAGCGATGCTAGCGATGCTAGCGATGCTAGCGATGCTAGTGATGCTAGCGATGCTAGCGATGCTAGTGATGCTAACGATGCTAGCGATGCTAGCGATGCTAGCGATGCTAGCGATGCTAGCGATGCTAGCGATGCTAATGATGTAAAGATGTTTGATGCTAATGATGCTAGTGATGCTAGCGATGCTAGCGATGCTAATGATGTAAAGATGTTTGATGCTTATGATGCTAGCGATGCTAGCGATTCTGGCGATGCTAGCAATGCTAACGATGCTAGCGATGCTAATGATGTAAAGATGTTTGATGCTAATGATGCTAGCGATGCTAGCGATGCTAACGATGCTAGCGATGCTAATGATGTAAAGATGTTTGATGCTAATGATGCTAGCGATGCTAGCGATTCTGGCGATGCTAGCAATGCTAACGATGCTAGCGATGCTAATGACGTAAAGAAGTTTGATGCTCAGTTGCCGAGCCAATCAAGCTGATGAGCTGCCAATACTTGAATACTTGGCCAATCAATGTGGCACTCGAGCTGCGCCACAATGTGGCACAATGCTATTCCTACGAGCCGCCAACTTTGAGCCTGCGAGGCCATAAGTGGCTCAGGAAGTCTTGAGGAGGCCAATGAGAGGCTCGGAGGCCAACTTCTTGTGAGGACTTAGTGAACTGTGGTGATGTGTGGTGTTGTGGTGTTGTGGTGTTGTGGTGTTGTGGTGTTGTGGTGATGTGGTGTTGTGTTGTTGTGGTGTGGTGTGGTGTTGTGTTGTAGTGTTGTGTTGTGGTGTTGTGTTGTGGTGCGGTGTGGTGGTGTGGTGTTGTGGTGCAGTGGTTTGGTGTTGTGGTGCAGTGGTGTGGTGTTCTTATGAGTCCTTATGATGAGTTCGGGACTTCCTAGTCCCCGGTCACGTTGATGCGCCGCTTTCGTCCTCATCCGTCTCCGAGTCGTCGCTAGGCAGGTCACCCCGCCCTCGGGTCCCGGATGTAACGTTGGACGTGTTCCGTCTATTTACCCTCCTATGGGCCAGCTGATGCAAGATGCTGTTGCTTGTCACTTGCTGAGGGTGGTTCCCCATTACTGGACAATCCGGGATCTTGCTCAACCACTTGTCCTGCACAGTCTCCCCCTTCTT